AGATTTGTTAGTAATTTTAAATGAATAAATATTTAAAATTTTCCTGTTTTATTTAATACGGTGAATATTGATAGCTATAGTCCGCAGAACTAAAACTCTTTCATGTACTTAATCATTTTTAAGAGTGTAAAGATGTCCTGAGGCCAAAAGTTTGAGAACTGCTGGTCTGAACACTAGCTGATTTTTAAATGCCCAAGAAATGCAGAGATTATGGGAAATATAATTATGTATTATACTCTGTTGTAAATGAAGGCTTTCATTATTTCACAAACCTTTATTAAAGCCTTCTCTGTGCCCTGACCCTTTGCTGGGTTCTGGGAGCACAGTGGTCAATAAAATAGGGTTTCTGCCTTGGAAGAGATCTTAAGTCACTAGGAGAGCCAAATCACATTAACTGTGATTATTTTTAAAAGTTCTGTAATAGAGCAGTTTTCAGAGTGTGACAGGATTACAATGGAAAGTACAGTGTTTTGGTGCAGTGTTATTAGAATCAGCCATCATCTCACAGGTCATTCAGATTAGGAAGATTGCCATTTTTGTTTCTGCCACAGACAACTCACCTTTGACTCCCTGACTGTCTCCCAAACCACCTGGTTCCACTGACAATAGCAATTGCCTCTATAAATATGTCACCAATGGCTTAAGGTCAGAAACTGAAACTAATTTATGTGCTTTTGGCTCACTTTTTAGTGACTGTACTGGCGATATTTAATGAGTTACATGCAGATGTGGACCTTTATGCTCTTCTGTTTGGAGAAAGTGTCCTAAACGATGCTGTTGCTATTGTGTTATCCTCGTAAGTAACAATATTTCTGCCTGGGAAGAGAGACTCTGGCTTCCTGAATGCCCTGGGCTAAATGCAGAGGCTCATCTTAAAGGTGTTAAATATTGAACTGTGTTTTTTTTCTAAATGAGATTTGTTGATAAGATTATGTTGCTTTTAAGTGAATACACCATGGGGGCGGGGTGCTTGGCAGAGTGGAGATGCCTATTTGTTGATAGTTTTGGGCACCATGTTCTAAAACCAGCGTAGTCTTTTAAAATTTTCTCTTCTTTTTAAACTCCAGGTCTATTGTTGCCTACCAGCCAGCAGGGCTGAACACTCACACCTTTGATGCTGCTGCTTTTTTTAAGTCAGTTGGCATATTTCTAGGTATATTTAGTGGCTCTTTTACCATGGGAGCTGTGACTGGTGTTGTGACTGCTCTAATATCCTTTTTGTAGTTTCTGCCCCTGCCTGGGTATGATTATGTGGTATTACACTTGCAAAAAGAAATTTCTCAGTTCTTCCTTTCAGAAATGAATCTTTAATTGCTCAACTGGGATCTGGGAGCTCCAGAAATGTGTCCCTTTGGTGAAACATGACAGTCCAGTGACTAGATAAGATTCTGAGAAAGTGTTTGGGAGTACAACTCTAGGCTTGGCTCTTTTCTCATCATTGCATTTTCTCTCCCTCCTATGAACCAACTGGAGATGGGTATTTGGTGGGGGGAGCATCAGTTTTAGGGAGGTGAAAAGAGCCGAAGAGCCAGGAGGAGGCTGGGAATCAGGGACCACTCCACAGGCGGCCAAGAGGAAGCAGACTGGGAAGTACTTTAGCCCTAAGCTTGCTGCTACTGTCACTTTTTCCAGACCACATGGGGCTAATGTGGCTGTAACTAGGTGGGGGCCATCAGTGGGAATTACTGTATGGTGGTCTTCCTCAAGCAGGCTACGTAATATTTAGTCAAAAATTAACCAGCCAGCCAGCCAACCAACCAACCAACCAACCGACAAACAAATCAACAAACTGACCAATGAACATAAAAGCAAAGTGTGAAATGGGCAGGCAACCCCTCCACAGATATACTGAATCCTTCATCATATCTTTCAGTGGTATTTAGAACACCAGAGTTTAATACAAATGTAATGGGAGTCATGTATGCAAGCCACATCATTTCATTCTGAAATAATATACAAATTATTGACAAAATTTACACAAATTATTAGTGAGATTTTATACATTCAATTTTTGTACTAAATCTTTGAAAGATGGTGTGGACTTTGCTCTTACAGCACATCTCAATTTAGACTAGCCACATTTTAAGTGTTTAGTAGCCACATATGGCTAGTGGCTACCATATTGGACAACACAGATTTAGATTGCTTTCTTCACAGAGGCCCTTCTGATGCCTTGGGAACTCATATTTCTCAGTGAAACCACTCAGGAGATGATTCCACACTGGCCTGCTATGGAATGGCAGTATTTGGAGGGGAATCTCTGGTTCTAAAAGCTGATGAGCTCATCTTATAGTTGTCCTTGCACATTTCTTTCTTTCTCATACCTTCATTAGGTACGTGTGTGGACTCAGTCCTCAGTGGCCCAAAGAGGTCAGGGTCTCACTGCTTTGTCTTCCCAGGCCTCCCTGAGGCACTCCCAGCACTGCCAGAACTAACCTGCTAGTCATGCCTCAGGCCAAGACTGTGCCTCTCAGAACCATGGGCATTGCAAGGAACACAGAAAACCCATTTTCAGTTTCTTTAGAAAGCTTAATTTTTAAAAACAGTTTTATTGAGATAAAATTCACATACTGTATAGTTCACCCATTTGAAGAATACAATTTGATGGTTTTTGGTATTTGACATTATTCATTTTTTAAAATTGTGATGAAATATATATATCATAAAATTTGTCCTTGTAACCATTTTAAGTGTACAGCTCAGTGGCATTAAGTACAACTACAATGTTGTGTAATTGTCCCCACTATCTATTTTCAGAACTTTTTATCATCCCAAACAGAAACTGTGTCCCCATTTATCCCCTCTTTCCCAGCCCTTGGTAAGTTATTTTCTATTTGAAACCTTAATTTTTTTTACTTTAAAAACCAAGCAGCAGCTTTGGAACCCCAAAAGAAGAGTTGAAGGGAAAGGTTGGCCCTGAGGGAGGTGGTCCTGGGCTAATAGAATGTTGTTCTTGGTGATACCGATACTTGTTCTTGGAGACAAGTTCCTTGACGGGATAACGTGACCAAGTTTACCAAGCTGCACTGCTTCCCCCTGCTGGAGACGGCACTCTTCTTTCTGATGTCCTGGAGCACGTTCCTCTTGGCAGAAGCCTGTGGGTTTACAGGTGAGTTCTCTCTACCCTTCGGCCACTCTTATCCTCACTGTAGCGGGGCTGTAGAAACTCAAGGGGAGGGACAAATTCTTTTTATTATTATTATTTATGCCTACAGCACCTGATCTTCCTAGGTGGTCTCCCATCCAAGTACTAACCAGGCCCGACCCTGCTTAGCTTCCGAGATCAGACATCAGGCTTGTTCAGAGTGGCACGGCCGTAGACCATGGACCGTGGCTCCACTGGGGCGCAAACCCAGGACCTTCTGCGTGTAAAGTAGATGTGCTAACCGCTACACTATGAAACCACGTCTGAGACGAATTCTTAAATAGCAGCTGCATGGAGTGTCCATGTGAAGGATTGCTGAGCAAGGCTGGTGTTCTGCCTTATGATTATAATTTAATGTCCCAAAGCTACACATTTTTAAAGGATAAAGTTTATTGTTTCAAACTCAGTTATGCTTTTAAGTACTCATTATAACTATAAGTAGATGTTTAGCTCCAAAGATTACTGAATATATTAACATCTTATTTGTATCATCGCTAGATTGTTACATTAGTTTACAAACAGTAGCAATAATAAGCAAAATATATGTCCTTTTAAAGGTAATTTTATATCTACTCAAATTGAGTGGAAACACAGTTATTCCTTGTTATATCTCTGGTCTGTTTAATCATTGTTTTTCAATACCGTATTTTTATGGTGCCAGTTTCATATGTTATTCGTGTGAGTGATCACGTGGTTTCAGTTCCTCACATTCTCTCATTACAAAAACAAACAAAAAGTTACTGAATTTTTCCATTAGAAACTCAAATACAGTTACTATACATAATCCAAGTGGTTAGGAAGTCCCTTTACCATCTTCTCAAAATATTGCAACCTATCTTTATACGCAGCATTATAAAATGCCTCACTTCCTTAAAACTTGACAATTATCTATAAATATATAGGCAAAGTTCCAGCTGTGTCAATTGAAAGCACAACAAAATGGTTACCATTAACCAGAAATCTAGATCATCAGGGCTTGGATAAATGGAATACTACTCTGGATCCATTTTGTTTGAAGCCCTAGACCATGCAAAAATATAAAGCATTGGTTTGAAATTAACCTCATTTGTTCTAAGAACAGAGAGGAAAGTGACAAAGGTGTATGATGGGCCCTCACAGTCTCTTTGGATGCTAAATGCCAAATACAGATGATAATCAGCTTAGAGGAAGAGAGAGAATGCCCTTAAAACTGGCGTGAGGGAGAAAGTTGGGGACCTTGTCTTTGAAGGAAGTCAGTATTGGGAGAAGGAAAGGTTGATATGGCTTGTGGGGACAGGGGGAGCTTTCAGTAATAGGAAACTCTCAAAAATATTTAGGAACTGGGATTTGTTGGGCTTGCCTACCTTAACTTTTTGTTTTAGCAGGGATTTTTCCTGTTGCTTTTTAGTCTATTGATTAAAAAAAAAAAACTCTCGTGCCAGGTGTTGTAGCTGTCCTTTTCTGTGGAATCACGCAAGCTCATTACACCTACAACAATCTGTCAGTGGAATCAAGAAGTCGAACGAAGCAGGTGAGCAGGAGCCCTGGGTCCTCATGAGTTACCTGTAAATAGAAGAGAGGGAACCTGTGGAATTGACAGCTCCTTTTTTCCTTTCCGTGCAGCTTTTTGAGGTGTTACACTTCCTGGCAGAGAACTTTATCTTCTCCTACATGGGCCTGGCATTGTTTACCTTCCAGAAACACGTTTTCAGCCCTATTTTCATCATTGGAGCTTTTGTATCCTTTTTTGTTTCCACCATTTTCTACAGAGTAGCAACCACTGCTGAGGAAGCTATAATATTATTATTATTATTATTAATTTCTGTTTGGGGTGGGCGATTGAATCAGAGTTAGTTCATGGTGTTTTTATGATGAGAGAAAGAAGACTTAAGTGGTTTATAGAGCTAAATGTATTTGATTTAAAAGACTGGCATTGATTCTGAGGTTGTTCTTTCTTTTTGCATTTTCTATGTAAGATGGCCATCTGTTACACTGGTGCTTGGCAGGTGGTAGTTTGTTTTGTAAATTGCTCTTCTTAGCAGATCTGAAAGTCAGCATCATGTCAGTCCCTAGAATTATTTTTATTTCATTGGCGTGTGAATTCCAATCCAGGAGGTTCCCCACGTGGAGGACCTGAAGGTTCTGTTGCTCTTGCTCTTAACTGCACACCGGTGTGGGCAGCCCTTCCTGACCATCTAGGGAAGGCTGCAGGTCATAAGCACACTTTCACCCAAGCTTAACAGATCATGATGGAAAAAGACTCCTATCTCTACTCTTACCTACCCTCCACCCCGCTAAAAAAAGAAGAGAAAAGGAGAGGAAGATCAAATGGAAAAATACTTGGTTTCTTGATTTAGTCCTATTGGAAATGCAGTTTTTGGAAGAGAGACAATTTTGGGGGTTGGCTTCTCTCAACTGAGGAGGGACGCGAATGCCTAGCGAAGGATTAACAGCTGAGGGTTTTGCTTCCTTGGCCTCAGATCCTCTTGTTTTCATTAAAGTTAACGTTTCTGGGGCTTGGAACTATAACAATCCAGCTCAGCCTGGATTTCAAAATACTGAGCAAGAGTCCCCTATTGCTGGGCATTCACTTCTGCCTTTTCCAAGGCCTCCTGGGTATTCTTAGGTCTTGGGATGCTGGCAAAAAAGGAGTATTTTTCTCTTTAGGGTTTTTTATTTCTTGTGCAGGAATAACTGATACTCACCAAGCAGCTAGATAGTGATGGCGGCCTGTTGCCATGCTGGAATCCTTCCACTTAGTGTTATCTGCTTCAATTGGGCCTCATTTCTTTGACACACACAACAGACTGACAACTAAAAGTCTGGGGGATCGGTGTTTTTATTCCTGATTAAGAAAGACCTTGCAAACTTAGAAGATATGGTCTAATATAAAGAAATATTGAAAAAGTCATAACTTAATAAAATGGAAATAACTGTTAATAGTTTCGTGTATATCCTTCCAGATTTTTTCTATAAATGTATATACTTTTAAATATTTTTTTGCTAAAATAAGATTATATTCTACATAATTTTTCTTCGCACTGTAATATATCTGGTACGTCTGTTCTTGTTGTAAGTAAATATTTATATCACCTTTAAAAAAAGAGAAAGACCTTGCATGTCATTTGTATTCTGAGCATGGCATCCTGTGAGAGATAGTGATTGCACAGCATTTGTTTACAGATGAGGGCCCTGGAGGAGGGCCAGCCGGGTCCTCTGTGAATCCCGAAGGCCACTTACCACTGAGGACTTCTGCATGGCTTCAGGGGTAAAATGAGCTTTATAAGCGCTACCTGTTTCCTTCTGTTAAAACAAAAAGGAAAAATAAAAGAAGAAAACTTCAGTCAGTGCTTTACCCTGGAGAAGGCAGAAGAGAGTTCTACCCTTGCTTCTTTTTGAAACAGCTGCTGTTCTGGCAGCTGGTGCTTCGCTGAAACGGAAGCTCCCTGTTTCTCTGGCTCCCATGGTGCTTCCTTTCTGTGACCAGGGCAGTGTGTGGTTCTCTGTTGGGCTCAGTTCTAAATTCAGCAAGTGACAAATGACCGATTTCCCTGAATTCTTTGGTTTTCACAGTAGAGTTCCTCTACCACACTTTTCCTTTTCCATTTCTTGTATCTCCAAAAGAAATTTTAGCCACTTAGGCAGAGAAATCTTCCTGGGTTGATTATTGTGAGGAATATAAATGAGCCTTAATATTATGAATACTTTAAATTTCCTCACCTCTTATTTGTAGACTCTTTCTGGTCACTCTAGCCCCTGATGTTTACTTTCCACTAAAGCTTATGAGCTTCTCAGGAAACTTTATAGTTTGACTCAGACTAGTAATTTTTTCTTCTTGTGATTTTTTTTTCTAATAGAGCCCAACACATTGTTTGTTTGTCTCAGCTCCCTACCCCTGCCATGGTACGTTAGCTTATTTCTGGACTCATTTTTAGATAGATTGGAGACTTGGTCATACCAGTTTAATTAAATCAAGAAGTTACAATGGTGCATCAAACAGGCTAGAAATGATCTTTATGGGCCAGGAGGTTGAGAAGGTTGGCCAATTGAATCCCACATGTTGCTGAGACTTGTTTAGAGGAAAACTAGACAGCCTGGCTTCTTTGTGCACCTCTCCTGATCATAACGAGGTATCACAGCATTCTTGAAATTCTCTACTCAACCAGAGGTTGTGTGACAGTGCCATTCTGAAACCTTTTGGGCCCTTAACCTCCACCTGGTACTCAGGTTGCCATCTTCCTGGGAAGAGCTGCACATATCTACCCACTCTCCTTCTTTCTCAACTTGGGCAGAAGGCATAAGATTGGCTGGAATTTTCAACAAATGATGATGTTTTCAGGTAAAAAAGTA